TTTCAATGCAACAAAAATGTTTATCCCTTAAAAATTAAATGAAAAATTAATTCTAAAATACGACACTTATTTTAAAGGAACGTGTTAATTCAGATAATTAATTACGTTAATTGTAGATTTTAGCTATACGGATTAATTGTATATCCACCAAAAAGAACACCTTAAAGTAATATTACTGTATCACTTTTCTATGAATCACTATCTAAGGGTGATATTTAAATTTATTATTATATTAACCAAAGAAAGATACATGTTGATGAAAATGTACAATATGGGCTAACCCAGTACATAAGATTGTGTGATATTTACAAATTAACATAATAACTTCAAATACGTTAAGGCAACGTAATTAGTACTAAACGATACTTTGGTTTCATATTGAAATATATATTTTAAGGACGGTTGTAATTATCCCTTCAACCCGTCTATTGTTAGGATCTGGGTTATTGACATATGTCTTTGGCTGGTACATAGGTGAGTCCTTTATATTCTAAGGTATGGGACGTGTATTCGCCCTATTATGCTGTCGGTTTATTTGTTTATCGGCATTTTGGCAATCGTAAAGGTCACACTTTGCAAGTTAAGAACTAAAATATGTTTATTGATATCAATATCAAAATTTGAAAAAAGAGTATTTTCACATTATTTTATCTATATCCTATCACAATTTGTGCATACTCCTAAATTGATCTAGTATTTATTGACTTTCATTTTAATGTATTCAACTGACGCATGCTTCTCATCATTATTGTTGCGGATTGTTTGATCTAGTCCCAGGCAACCCTAGGGATATGTCAATGTCTATTGATATGGACAATGATCAGTGTTCACTAGAGCTTATATGTTCTGTAGCTGTGACCCTAGGGACTGGATCTATGATATCACAGGACCCTACATGTAGTTGATTGTTGGTTTGTGGTGACAGTGTGGTTGAATTACTGTTGAACCTTGATTGTTAAACACATATCAAAAAATGAATCACTGTCAACTTATCTAAGGAGAGAACAGCTTTCTGATTGTTGTATTAGAACCAGAATTATTTTAAATGATTATGTTAGTCCATTCTATAACAACAAATAAATAAAATTAAAAAAAATATATAAAAATAACTCTTTTAATTTCAAGCTTAAAAACCTATTTTGATCACTCAACTAGGTACATATTTTTTGTTAAGTTTTTGTTAAGTCAGCTATGCATATTAATCAAGCCCGCATATGACCTAATTTAAAAATCTTTCTTTACATATAACTTTGCATTGCATACAGTGCCATGTATTAAACTAATATGTTCGCGACCATATGATCCTCGTAGTGTTAAATTATTTATCCATTTACATGCAGTAGGTCGAACTATTAATTAGGAATACATGTCTCTTAAGCACTTAATAATGATAAGCAATTATTTTAGAACATTCGAAAATTGTTGGCCTAGTGGCTATGGAGCTGTTTAATTTTTGCAACAGTTTGAGTAAGTTTTTTTGTAATTTATGAAAACAAAACATATGAGTGTCTATTTACCAACATACGAAACATCGTGTCCATGGACACTAAAACATCCCGTAAGTATATATTAGAGCTCTTTGCATTAAAAGTTATCATATTTCTTATAGTGAGAAAATATATTGTCATATTAAAGAACTAATACCATAACTTGCGGACTTTTGACTATTGATAGTCAACAGTTGATCTGTAATTATATTTCATTCTATTCTTTTACTTTGGACTGGTAGTTTTTTTATTAGTATTGCTATTTCAGTTGTATTAATTTATGATTTTAATGATGGATGTAACTTTTTGGAAGTATTAGGTTGCAATATACTCTTGCTATTGTACATTCTAAGATATTCTGGCGTCAAAATAATAAAATATTTGTTTTGTTATAATTTGTTGACACTATATCTCTTCAAATCTAACTCCAATCCTTCTAATTGAACTAATCATTGTGGTTTTTTATGCAATAGATTGTTTCATAAAATGTAATGATACTTAAGACAATGTTAGGGTTATGTAAAATGCTTAGTAAATACAAGGTTTCCAAGTTATTGATTAGTATTTGTAATCTTCGCTTACCATTAAAATGTAAATAATATTACTAAAAAAACGAATATTTTTGAAGGATTATGTTTCATAGTGAACAAGAAAACTTAAATGACATTAATTATGGATTGAAAAAAACTTGATTCAAACAAAATTAATATTTAAGTATGAGATAATTTAATATGGGGTTTCTCTTGACTATAATTTGCCATTTCCTTAACTGAACAAACACTTAACATAGTAATCCATTCAAGTGAGCCAAACGTTGCTTCTACAAGATCATTAAATCAAGACCCTTGGTAATTTCAACAAGAGCTACTTTATCTTGGTCTCTCCAGTACCTTACTACCTGCTGTTTTGTCTCAAAATAGTATTTATGTCCTATTCAAAGTCTAAGATATGCAACAGAGGTAGCAATCCTGTTGCTTTAAGAGTAAAATTTGCTAAAGCGTTAGCTTGTTTATTTATTAAATTCGGAGTGAGGATTGAAATTATGTTTTGTAATAGTGAAATCTAAAATGTATTTGTTTAGACTTTGCATTGCCTTTTGTAAAATCACTCAAGATTATTTTAAAAGGATCTTTTAACAATTTCGTTAAAATCATGCTGAAATAATTTGTAAGTTTGCTGCACTAATCAATAAAAAATAGTAATGTCCGTTTCCTTAATACGTTTTCTTAATCAAATAAAGTTTATTATAATTGAAAAAAATTAAAAAGATTGTAAATAATAAATGATAATGCCAAGGATCTAAAAAAAGGCAATTACAACATAAAAATTATTGTTTGTTTACAAAAAGATTAGTGTATAAACGCAATTTGAGCAATATTGATTATTCATGGGAAAATACAATTTACAATTGAGCTGCACGAAGTAATAACTGTTTTCTTTTGCAAACCGGATGAGGGAGGAGCTCTATAATCCATTGATCAACCAATTTCTTTCTTCTCTGCCCATTTATTTCTATCACTTATTTTCGAAACTACACATCCTGTTAATAGATGTTTGTGTTCAAATATTATATTTTTAATGTTGAACATTTGCTTAACTATGGGAGTATCTGAGTATTGAATGGAAATATAAATATTGCTTGTTTTTATTTGTTTTGTGTGTTTTATTTTTAAATAGTAAACAATTAAATTTATACGATTTAATCAAATAGTAAAATGAAAAAATTGCATTTTGTTTTTTATTGAGCTAAAAAGACAAATCAAGTTTAGGGTCTAATTCCTAAATGAATATTACATGTTCTATATTTATATTTTCATTATCATTTCTTATAAGAAGCTGTTAAATCTGTTTTGAAAGTTAACATAGTTTATTATGTAATCTTTAACTGTTTTTAAACTTCAATATGCATGCTAAAAACATTTAAAATTGCATTATTCGATGAAACGTCGCCAACGGTTAATGTTTAAAATAACACCTCAATGTGTTTGTTATTAATATATTCTTATACTATTATGCACGTGTGTGTAAGGAGCAGTCAGCTTTACTTTTCCTTACCATGACCTCTAAATCAACCCAAAACAACCTTGTTAGCTTATCATATTATGTAAAGAAACCTTGATTTCACAACTCAAAGAGAGTTCGTTATCCCGTTTGATTGAAGCTACTTTGCATTAGGTCCAATTTTCCACAACGAATGTGTATAAATAACATGAATAGTCATGACTTGGAAGTTTTACTGTAAAGTAATTATTTGGCATATTGGAATGAATCGTGAAGACAAACATCTTATAACAATTGCTATTAAAGATTTTATTTTCTATGTTATTTATTTGAAACACATTGGTAAAGTATTTATGTTGAAAGAAATATCGAAGACTTAGAATCCGTATTGAAGTTCATAAACTATTATGTAAGCATGGCTTAATGAATATTAAAAATTTATAATTGGTATTTATCTTTTCCATGCCGGTGAAATATTTGCAGAAAAAATTATCGAAGGATTTCAGGGCAATCAGTCCAAACCCGTGTTGTAGATGTGCCGGAAATCGAACCCGGCCTTTCACAGCAGTCCAACACTTTTTTCAGTTAATTTTAATTTAATGTTTTAGCATTAAGTAACATTATTGACTGTACCTATTTCTGTATTATTATAGGTCAATGGAATAAATACTCTTGACTCTTGACTTAGCGCTAATCAATCAGCTAGCAACACACTGTAACCGAATTCCCAACTCCATTGATCAAAAGGGTGAAGCCCTTGGAAGCGCAAAATCAATGGTGGGATTCCGGCACAATATTGCTGAGGTGGAGGACCAACAATGACAACACAAGAGCTGGCTGGACAAAAATATAAATTTATTCAATTCAATATATATAGGAAAAATATAACAATACAACAATAAATAACAATAAACATTAGGCATTGCCCTAGCCAAGATAATAATCAAAGCTTTAAAAATATTTAAAAATTTCTTTAATAAAACGATTTAATTTAAAATTAGAAATGCTATATTTTGGTAAGCCTGAAACTGCCATAAGGCGAAAACATTTAGATGTACTATTTCAAACAAGTTTAACTTCAGTTAGGTTAGGTGGCCACCTTATAAAATCATTTTTAAAACATTTAAAAGAAATCACATTAGCCCTAGGCCTACATTTAAAATAAATAATCTTTACATTTACAAACATGAAAAAACATTTACGCTATCAACAAATGTGGTCGCCTCGCAAAAATATATTCCAACAATATATTCCAAGCGGTAAAATAACCGTCAAGGAAAAAAAAAAGATTTTACCCTCAATCAAGGGGTGTGAAACAGAATTAAGAGAAAATAATTTAAAATTTGAATAAAAATATTAAGGATAAATTAAATTTAGAGAATGAAAGCCTAATTTGTTAAATTGCAGGTAAAAAGATTACAAGGTTTAGTTATATAAGTTAAATAAAAAGGTGCCTATGTTGAGTGAGATTTCTTCATGATGGATGAGACTCTCCGAATGGACTGGACTGACCTGACCGTAAACCCTCGCTGTTGTCCAGGTGGGTTAGCAGGGAGTAGAAGTGAGCCAAGGGCATGGTGGCCGCTCCCCAGACACGGCAGCACGGTGTTAGGCCGGAGTAACTGTAGTCCTAGCGGTGTAGGTGGGTGGTGCACAGGGAGTGGTATGGCGCAGTCCCATCAGAAGTCAGTCCCACCGGAGAATGCTCATAAGGGTGCAGGTTCTAGCATTCTAAAGGTGGCAGGCCGCAGGTGGAGTCACCGACCCTGATACAAAGTATAGATCACTGACCTGGCCTAATTAAGGCTAACATGTCTCAGAGTCCACAATTTAGTTTGCACTAGGTCTGAATAAATCAAAAGAGCGTAAAACATTCTCTTTACCTGCAGTCAGCGACCACATTTTTACAAAAGCTGTTCTAGCGTCTAGCCTAACCAAACATTGTTTTCTAGAGAAAGGTAACATGATCTCACATGAATGAAAATGCATGAATGTGCTTGCTTACTATTCACAAGTTTAAGAACAAACAAAATGGATATTTAAAAGGTTATTATCTTGGCTAGGCTACTGTATTTGACCAGCAAAAATTTAGGCTAGCAAAAGTTACTAGCACAAACAAAATTAGAACTAGCCTAGAAACGTTTAACATGATTGGGTCCAGACCAGCTCACAGTTAAACACAAAAATTACACAAAATGACTCAAAAAAATTACACAGAAATGACGTTAACACTTTAACTTGGTCTTTTAACCTTAAACGTGAAAATTGGCTCAACCTTTAATATCACTTGTACTGACCAAGTTAACTCAACGAGGCATGCACATTGTGTTATCTAGTGGACTCGAAACTCTCAGAAAACAGTACAATAAACATCAAAATGACTCTATAAAACATTTCTGAACGATAGTGAAACAGTGAAAATGAAACAAAATGAAATAAGCGAGGACTAGGCCTGGCGAATTCAACTTACCCGTGGTATGAAAACTCTACTCGCAGAAATGCTCCATTCCGAGCAGTTGGAAACGGGTCTATGAAACTAAAAACTTCAGGGTTCACAAAAGAAAACTCTTCCGGAAGAAAACCCCGTAGCCTTGGAACAATCTCAAACCCAAAGTCTGACAAAACGGGAGCCACAAAATCACCCGAACGACGTCCAGCAGAACGCAGCCAGTAGCACCAACCACGCAACAAATTAAACAGTGCCGTTGAGCATTGAGCACATACACACGGCACAACACTAAAGTGCTGTAACAGTTTTCATTTCTTTTTAACATTGGTTATTAAAATTGTAAGATCTGTAACTGCATTAGGAAGGTGTCTAGTATTACAGTCTACCTCACTTGTTATTAAAAAAGATTTTTAATGTAACGTGTTATCGGTAAGAAAAGAATAAAATATAGGATTACCTTTTTTTTGTAAATTAATGCCCAATAAATTCAATATATTCTAATTGTTGTACAAAGGAAATGATAAATATAGAGATGCGTGAATAATTATACAATAGATTTAAACAACAAAAACAGTAACTGAATAGCTTCAAGACAAAGCAATATAGCAATTGTCAGCTACATTATTGTTGTACAAAAACCTAAAACTTCACTATCACCCTAAATCCCTCCCTGCACTTTCACCCTATATCCCTCCCCCCTCTTAGCAATTTAACCATTGCGGTCACCCTTTAACGTTGAAATAGGTTTCTGTAACACCATTAGCATTCCATTACCTCGAGGGTGGCTTTTCAAAAGTTCAAAAGCAATTCAAGCAGTTCAAAAATATTCCAGCTTATTAAAATAGATGTATTATAATCTTTTTACATGAGAATTTTTATTGTAAAAGATAGTTTCCACGTACACTTCAATAGTATATTTAAAGAAAACTGTTTAAACGCTGTCTATTTTTGTTGTTCTACTATTTGTTTTTATCTGTGAGCATATTAAAAAACACCTGTGTTAATGTAAACGCATTGAATGAGGTTGAAACATTTTCACTTGACGAGTTTGATGTGTTACATTGCACGATAAATGTCCGTTTTAATACTACTGTACCACTCCACTATTAGGTCGGTGTATTGTTTCCAGGATTTTAATTTTATGAATAATCACAAACACTCGATTAACAAGCATCATGGGATTTTTTTCAATATTGTTAAATATACATATTTCAATTTACCATTCAATTGTGTTCCTAACTCTTGAATATTTGTTATGTTGAAAATCTTCTTTATTATTACAGTTGTACTAATAGCTATAAATATATATTTCACATACAAAAGGTAAGTGAGGCAACTTTACTTTTAAGACCCAAGACAAATATATAAAAACATGCTCTAGCTATCCTATCAAAAGCCATAAAAACATTATTGTATTTAAAAAATAATATTAATAATTATAAAAACTAAGAAAATCTGGATTTTAAGAAAACATTTGGATTAATTTTTAAGTCAACTGATGCGAATAACTCTGAAATATATTTTCTGTATCTTAAGGTCGGTACATTACCTAGAGTAGCAAGTATTATATCTAGGTAACGTAGTATTGTAAATACACATGCTTATATATATACAGACTGTTCCAAAAGTCCCGGACTGGTTTAATATTTTCTAAACGACAACAGATAAATCAATAAGATTTTGCACATCAACACCACACTTAAAAATCTACTTTTTTAAGGAACGATCAATTTTCTGTCATATCATGGGGACGTCCCACGAGGAGTCAGAAGGAAATCTTAAATGGGAGCATAGGTCAATATGCACATCAGTTTAAAGGGCTTAGCTAGCAGAGTTCAATGCCGGAAACAGCGCCTCGAAAGGATCACCCGTTACAAAATGGCGGCCGTTCAAAGATTTCGTGAACCTGCCATTTTGAATCTTTGAACGACTGCCATTTTTTACTCAGGCGTTCTTTTGAGCTTGAATTTACGGCATTGTAATCTACTAGTGAAGACCTTTAATTTGATGTGCATATCGACCTATGCTTACGTGAAATTTTTTTTTCCGATTCCTAGGGCTGTGCCCCCAATACAAATTAAATGAATCTTTGAACCACTATCATTCTTGACTTGGTTGTCCGTTTGAGTTCAAATTTTCAGCATTATATTCTAGTAGTAAAGACCTTTAATTTGATGTACATGTCAACCTATGCTTCTATTTAAGATTTCCTTCTGACTCCTTGCGGGACGTCCCCATGATGTGACAGACAATTTACATTTCCATAAAAAAGTTGATTTTTAGGTGTGGTGTTGATGTACAAAATCTTATTGATTTATCTGTTCTCGTTTAGAAAATATTAAACCGGTCCGGGACTTTTGGGACAGTCTGTATATTCACACGCTAAAGGGGAAGCTGCTCAAGACAGATGAGTCTCTAAGGCAGTGTATTCACTTTGTCTGAAAAAACCTTTGACCTGGTATAGCTTGGAGCCATTCTAACCTCTAAATAGAAGGTGAGAAGCAATCCTTTTTATATTGAATCCGAGTACAAGATCTCTATATCCATTTATTGCTGTATTAATCATCAACGTTTATATGTGCCTTTTTATAAGAGTCTATGTTCGGTTGATTTAGTAAATTCTCAAATATAAAATAGGCGGGGGGAGGTTTCATGGTTAGGCTTACATTTTATAGAAAGCAATTTGATTTATATTATGTCTATATAATTTTATGTCTCTATAAGTTTATGTATAAATGTGCTATAGTGAAAAATCTGCTACAATCTGATAAGTGTTTATTCAAAAATAATGTCGCGAACCAGCGTAATCGAGCAATGAAAACAGCGTTCTTTATGAGGGGAGTGTTGTTTATGGGGGTTGGATTCTTCCAAAGTTCCTACTTTTTGCCCTAAAAAATTTAAATATCATTTAACTACTGATAATGATTCGATTGCTTCGTGGATGAAAATAAATTTATCTTTAATAATAAATTTATATATTTATATATATATATATATTCAAGCGTTCTTAAACGCATGATGGTACAGAGAACATTCTTTGAAATTGTAAAATGTAAATTCTTATTATATTCTTATATGTTGAAACTTACAAAACTTTAGTAGTTTGAAATTTTTATTGAATAAGTTGAGTTTATTTTGAGCGAAGCAGTCAGTATTTTGCTAACACTTAACCTTCCTTGTAACAAAATTAGTTTGTTAGTTGTCCTAGGACGCACGTGCCGGAAATTGTTTTTTATGTTACTTTAAGTGAGACCTAGGGGTTATGGCATTATCACTTAGATTAAGTATTTAGGTGATTTGGCAGGATTCGAACCGGGGACCTCAGGGACCGAAGTCTCGTGCTCTAATCACTAGACCAGCCCACTCCGCCCAACACTAAAAGAAAGTACCAAATACAATAATATTACTTAAATATGTAATATAATTTTTTTCAAGAACGAAATTATCATATTTTTTATAAACTCATTGTTTATTATATACCTTACCTAATTACCAAATTATAAAGTAACAAAGGGAACTGACTGTTGGACTCTCTGAAACACGCAACATAGCATGATGTTATAAGGTATTGTGTAATAACATAGCACCAATATGAGCTACCTAATGATCCTATGACGTATTAGTACTAATTTACTGAACAACTTTAATAACTAATTAGTAATGAGACATCTAAAGTCTTCAACATTCAACTAGTGAGTACATTTTCTAATGGTGGAAATCATCTAATTTTGTTTTCTATAAAAAGTAAATCTAGGCTGTAAGATCTTAAATAATATTAATGAATATCATGATCATGAAAGGTAATAATGTTCTAAATGAAGAAAGGAGAATTTATCTGCCAGAATAACTGAACAAATTATGTAGGCCTAAATAAAACGAATTTTTAATAAGTTTAAAATTCATCCATTGATGTATAAGAGAGGAACTTACGTACAAGTTGCCTTTAGTAACACTTAGATGATACCTGAAAAAGTCATAAACTTATAAATAATGGTAAATAATATTGGTTCAGCTTTTTCTAGGACAATAATAACTTCATTGGTAAATCAATTATTCTTACGAATTTTATGAATAGCTTTAGCTAGGTTTTTTATATAGTGGAGTTAGACGGCAAAAGACATATGATT